GAGCAGCACGAATCAGAGAGATTAAGACCATTATAAACAAGTTAGGTGAGCTACCTTCTTTTTTAGTTGATTATTCAAAATTAGAATATCTGTGTGTCTCAAATGGTAATGTTGATAAAGTACTGAGGTATGAAAGTGACTTTATATTTGGCTGACTAAAGAAAATTCCTGGTTACTCATCAGAACTTTTTCAAAATTCAAATGTGGCATTCATTTTTCTTCTTCTTCTTCTTCTTCTTTTTCTTCTTTTTCCTTCTTTTTTTTTATTGCTGCATTGAGGCCAAATAAGCATTGCCAATAAAATGGTCAACTCTGCATGTACAAAATTTTGATTTTTCATGAAAATAAGGACAAAAATTGGTGGATACAGAGTGCATATAAGTTTTTTGATAGTTCTACAGCTCAAGGATAGATTCCATCATTGATGACTCCTCAGGGGAAGATCCACTGGTACCACAGGTACATATTTTCCATTATATTTACTAACAAATATGGAAAGGTAAATTGAGACATGTTGCAGTTGGGAGAGATATATTTTAAGGTTTTAAGTATTGGCCATTTTGGTTGTTTACAAACACGCCGAGAGGTGAAGTGGACTACTTCCAACTCTCACCCTGCAGCGGTGATTTTTAGAAGCGTGCAATGAGAAACCAGAATTTTTTCAATAGGCCTTATGTAAACATTTTAGATTATACAGGAAAGGGAAGAACATGGAAATAGCAATAAAGCCAAATGGTCTTCAGCATATTTATATTTCCCTATTCCTCCCTTCATTATTATTTTATTTTTTACAATATGCCCAGCACAGATTCTTTAGATACATAAACATAAGGAAACTGCAGAGAAGGAATCTCAAGATTTTTTCCTATAGAGTTATGTCAAAACTTGAACATCACCATATTTAAAGACTGACATTTTCAGACAACTGTGAGCATGGGGGCAGAGTATTTCAAAATTTGCCACGCCACATGCAGAGACGAACAGTTTCAGCAAATCCAAAACGTTTGCCTCATTACCTCCGAGATCGGCATATGAGAGAGGTAAGTTAGTGGTTACATTTTAAAATTATGTTCAGGCAATTTTAGTTTGAGTTTCTAGTAATGGTTATTATACATTTATTCATTTGCAGGTAATAGACTAATCTTATCTGCGAATAGGTGATGATTTGATTCTGGTGTGAATGTATAGATATAAAGACCACATTGTAAAACATTCAACAGTAACCCATTGTCACATGGCCCAAAATACAGGCATTAGGCTTATATGAGTGGCTGCTCTGATGTGTGCATGGTTTGTAGGTCAAGCTTAAGCTAAGACTCATATTTGGTGACAAGACACTATGCCTCCCCTTGTCTTTGTTTTTTTCTCTTTTTATGCATAGCATTTTCAGCTATTTTGGTATTAGACTTTTCCTTGCACAGGCCCCATATCATCTGTTTAGGTCAACCAGAACTCAGTGCATGAATAATAACAATAACATTTTGTTATTTGTGTTTGTTTGTTTGTTTTTTTCGTAATATTCAATTTTCTGTAATACTACCTGTAACACCAGTCATGGCAGCCAGGAATAGGCTGCTGAGCATGGAAATGGCACCTTCCCTGGAGTTGGTGGAAATGGCATCTTCCCTGGAGTTGGTGCTCTTCCAGTCATGACTTACAAACACTACATTCCACACTCGTTTATCGATGGAAATAATCTAAAAGCCTCTTTCTAAATGTCAAATGAATCTAATCACCCTCCAAAATGTTTTTGCACTTGTGGCAAGTCTTCCCCCTCACCCCGGCCTTCAACTGAAATGCTCACAACGGCAAGTTCGTTTCACCCCAGCCCACAACTAGATTCTCCCATAATGGCATGTTCACATCACCCAGCCCTCATGACAAATTTTTTCATGACATGATGGTTACATCATGGAGATTGAAGGTTAACATGCCATTTCATTTCCAAATAATGAATTTATGAACAAATTGAAGCCATTAAGGTACAGTAGAACAGAAAAGTAAAGGAAATGCATTTTGACAGGGAGGTGCAAATGTCAAGACTACCAAGCGCCCAAAAAAGAAGTATCGCCATCGCCCCAACAATCTTTTGGCAGCGTATCATCGACGCCAATCAGAATTCCTTTGGTTAGAAACACACGTTTGGCATGCCAAGCGATTCCATATGACAAGAAAATGGGGTTATGCACTTTCAGTAACACCTACCATGAAAGGCTACCGATCCACACTGAGAGCTGCAACAAAAACATGCACAGTCCAGGTACTAAAAACCTTGTTTATGTTTATGTTCCTGTACTGAAGAATAGAAGTTTGTGTGTCTTTCTCTAAAGAAGGATTTGATTAATAGGTATATTGCCAAAGTAAATGTTTGTTAATGTGATGGACAAAATATATGTTGATGTAAACCATAACCACATCCTATCATATTGATAATTACTCTCTTTGTCAACATGACAATCATTAGTCATGCAGACATTATTGCTGTCATATGTAAGTTTTC